AGCAGGCTCCCCATTCCTTCCATGGAGGCTGGGAGAGTTATTATTGGGTGGCAATTTCCATCCATTTCATTGTCCATCGAGAAGTGGCAATTTGTGTCAGTATTTGAAGACACAAGATCAATAAGTGGTTCTGCTGTAGCAATGGTGAGCAGTAAAGTTTCCTTGAGATTTTCTAGCTTACGTATTATGTTATCTTGTTCCTTCCTGGGCAGACCTCCAAAAGCCTTAATAAGATCACCTTCATCTGAGTCTGGCATATCTTCATTTTGTGAGAGTGACTGACTCCCACTGCCTTGCTTTTTCAAGGTCATATGTGGGAAGGAGGGCTTGGTGGCCTCGGTTACAATTATGGAGTGAGTATGCAGTCGAAATGAGATGACCAGATAAAGAGTTAATTTTAACATCACGAAAAACTCCGGTAGGGAAGATTTGAAATGATGCTAAATACGGTCTCCTTTAATAGCATTAATGGAATGGTAGTCTGGTTAAAGGATAGCAAAATCCGTTTTCGGTTTTGAACAGTAGGAAGCCATTCGATGGCATATAGGTCTATCTGACTGTAGTGATGATGCAGAAGTTGACCTAAAGAAGTTTTAATTGCTCTCCTAGAGTCCCAGCATCCAATATTGAGATTGTTTAGGGAGATACAGAGAGCAACCTGCTGTGTCTGAAGTAAGCAGTTTTGCTTATGAGGGATTTCCTCTTTTGTATCCAGAGAGGCATTGATCTAGTACAATCATTTAATTGCTGCATACTTTTGTCAGCTTTTTTAACTTTATTGTCTCGCCCTTTATCAGAGCACATGTTAGAGATATCTTGCTTTATCGGAGTTCCTGCATTAGTTTTAATGGATGTGGCAGGTCCAGCTGCATACTTATAAACAAAAGTCTCAATGTCTTTTTTCAGCAGATTGAGATCATTTTTTATAGTTGACAGTTGTTCAAATAGCGAAATAACAGTTTGGGCTGTAAGGACATTACCTCACCATCCACTCCGTTGTATTTTCCCAGGGGAGCCTCTCCAAGTTTGGATTTTGTATCTTATTTTTAAACTTATTTTTATTTCCCTTCGCGTTATTAGGGGAACTATCAAGTTGTACTGGAGACATACGATCAGAGACCGAAAGGGAGTCCGGGTTTTCATTTAGCTCTTCCCTGACAGATAATGAAAGCTCTAACAACTGTTGTTTTTCTAGTTCTGTTTGTAAGTCCCATTCAAATTATTCCAGGGCTGCAAATTTGTTGGAAGAGGAGGGAAGATTTGCTTTACTTACAGTTTCATTTCGTGTGAAAAGTTCTTCTATCTTTGGTTGTTTAGCTGATTTTGAGGAGGAGCGAGAACCCGGGCTAATTCCATGTCTCTTCTTCCCTTTTCCCATGTTAGGCAGTCAGCTCAGACACTTTTACTCCACAATCATCTCGTTGTAGAAAATTGTAAATATATTTAAAATAATCTAATAATAAAAATCGAATTTAAAATCTACATTAACGAAATATTTGACTGAAGCTATCTAAAAGGAAAAAAAAGTAAAATATACTATTTAAAGTAGTATAAAATTAAAAGGCAGGAGCATAAAAAACGTGTGTTGCTGGCCTGGTGAGTGAGACTCCACCCCGGAGTCTTGTTAAGAAAATGAGTTTGGAGGTGTGGACTAGAGCCACGTTGACTGATAAAAACCACTCACACTGTTTGAGTTTGCTC